GGATAGTGTTGCTAGATCATTTTTGTACTTCATTGCAATTATTGCAGAATGAAAAGATAAAATGAGTGAAAGTCTTGGGAGGGTACACCAATAAATAAATAAAGTTCACAAAACCATCAAATCATAAAGTGTATTTATTAACTTTGCTTGTGTGTGCACTTTGGTTTTTTTTAAAAAAAATAAAAAAATCTTGTTGCATCATATAATCTATACTAAAATAATCTTCTTCCCTCTATTTAATTATCACATCCGACACCTATTTTCTATTCAAAACATAATATCCAAAAACCCTTTTTCCATCCGAAAAATTTCAAATCCAAAAAATCCACAACAGAAGCACTCTTTCCCAGATATTATGACTGAAATGCAATACAATTACACAAACAGAGAAGCTGTCATATCTTCATGAAAATTGAAACAGAACCATACACCATTGGAATTTCACATATATTTATCATAATGTAGGATGCCCAAATTCCTAAACCAAACAGCACAAAACATCACACTTAACTTAATCGATAAATTCACTTGGCACAATTGTATACAGTAACAATGTAAAAAATTCAAAAGTGCTGCACTTTGCTGGCTAAATTAATTTTCAGTATCTGTGTTACAAACACATCACCAACATGGTGGATCACGCAATACCAGAGTTTGCTTCTAACAAAACATCAGACTTCCAAATATATGACTCAATGTGTAAAAATATACAAAAGCATATTTTAAATCTAACAGAAGGAGCTTCAAAATAAAACCTAGAGGACAATCTACAATGTAAAATACTACAAATCTTTCAAACTTATCGGCCATTGGTTGTTGTGGCTGAACAACCAACCCTAACAACAAGCAATGAACAAATGGGAATGGAAACGCAAAATAGAATAAACAAAATTCACCGACGAGGGCATGGCGAGGAAGGAAAGCAGGACAAGAAGAAATAAGAGAAGGGAGAAGCTAGAAAAACCACCTACCTGATGGATCGATGCCGGAGACGTGTTCCAAAATCCCTCACTTCAACGGGACGCTGCGGCGGGGAGAATTCGACCAGCGACCAAGGTAGATGAGACTGCAAACGGAAGAAACATAAATTAAAAATCGATATGAGAAAAATGTTTTCACATTATCGATTTTTAACCTACAGGGGCGCCGGCGGCTGAGCAAGTTAGAAGAAGAAAAAAGAAGAGGACGAAGAAAGGATAACTTCGCGTTGGAGAAGAAAAGGGGAGGGCGGCGGGTGTGGGTAGGGTTTATGATTTAGTTATAAGTGATGGGAAAAAATGAATGATAATATTATTTTATTTTTACATATTTATATTTATTTTTTTAAAAAAATAATTTAAAATTATATTTAAAATAATGGTATAATATGATATAAATAGATATTGAGTCAATGACGTGATATTTTAAATATAAAATTAATTTTTAGTATATTATTAAAGTAAAAAATATTTATTTGATTTTATATTTTTAGCAAAAAAAAAATATGAATAATAATTTGAAATTTGAAATTTTTTTATAAAAGAACACAATAAATAAAAGACCAAAAAAATAAATTTTCTAAATTTAAATATATCATTTTCTTCAATAAAATATTATTTAAATATCATCTCTTTCAAATTATCACATCAATATATCATTTTTTTCAATAAAATAATAATTTCATCCTACATAATCATTACAAAATTCAAACTCTCAAACAAATTCAACTTAAAAATCCATACTTCAAAATTCTCCAAAATCCAAATCCAAAATCCAATCATCCAACCAAACACACCCTTTGTAAATTTTATAAATATAATTAATTAATAATAAATCTTTATTTATATTTATTTTACATTCAATTTGTTAAAACTAGGAGGAGGGCGGCTGGTAGATAGTGCAATATATTTTTACTTATTTATTATATATTGTAATAAATTTTATATACAATTAATTAATAATAAATTTTTATTTATATTTATTTTACATTCAATTTGTTAAATATTATTTTCAAAATTTGAAGTTTGATTATTTTTTTAATTTTTAATTTTTTATTAAAAATTATAAAAAATGCTTTTCTTTGTTACAGAATAAAGTCGTAATTATTGTATTTACGATATTTTTTTGTCATATTTTTAATTGTTACGAAACATTTATCGTAATAAATAAAGAAAGACGTTGACTAATAAAAATTCCTTTTGTCACGAAAAAATTCATAACAAAAACCATCTTTTATTATGACAATATTGTTACGAATCTTCTTTCCGTAATGAAAGCCCATTTTTTTGGTAGTCGAGATTATGCCCTAATTTGTCGAAGATACCTCGCGTAATACAAAATCTTTTTCGAGCTACCTTCAAAACCTTACCTGGGTGAGGTGCGCCGGAGTAGATCCCAGGGACGGATCGAATTCACCTCGCGCGTCGTCGTCGGCAGCTACAGGAAATCGGATCGCGGGCGACTGTGAGAAGCGAACGAGGGAAATGAACCAGATGCCCTAATTTGTCTAAGTGTGGGATGATATAGCATTTTTGTCCATTTTGATCGTTTCTGGAATGAAAGCGTCAATCCAGTATTTTACTTTTTTTTTTTTTTTTTTAATTTAACTTTTCCAAAAATAAAAAATTAAATACCAGTAGTTACGAACACTTTACGTAACTAATGTTATTTTGACCAAATTCTACCATCTCATTATTTGTTACGATATTTTTTGCGTAACGACAGAACCTAAAACGTTGACCGGGCTTTTTTTTTTCGTCACGGATTTTGTCGTAACTAATATATCTATTTGTTACGATTTTATTGTTACGGACTCTCAACCCGTGGTGAATAGCCCTTTTTTTGGTAGCGTGTATGGTTTGAATTTTTGTTATCTACCAAAAGTACTACTTATATTATTGTTTTTATAAAATAACACATTCAACTATCATCTTATTTATTTATTTTTTAAGATCAATCATAAGAAAACTATAAATTAAATCATTTTTTTAAAAAAATTGTTAAATTTGGGCCTTTTTTGTCGGAGATTATTTATTTAATTGATATTTATTTATAATATAATAAATTTAAAATATGTATCATATATTTAATATAGATGTGATAAAATATTATCAGAATTTATTAAACTAAAAATTAACTAATACTAATATATACATACATATCTTAAATTTTACATTCAAGAGCTCAGGCCGGATATGCTATGGTGTTCAAGTTTTTGATACAATTATAAAAATATCACTTATCATTCCATATATACGTCATAAACTAACTAACTATTTTTGATCTATAGATGTGCAATGTTAATTACTATTTTTGATGACTTGAATATCATTTTTTTTCCTGTCTTCTTTATAAAAAACACACACTGCTTTATATTGTTGATTATCAATGTGAGTGATTAATCGAAAAATCCAAAATAATTTTTGTAGTTTTGTGGCTTTGTAGTGGTTAGTTGGTTGTTTTCTTGATCACAATCTTCAGGTGCTTTCTCTAAGCAATATAATTCAGCCACAATCTTCTCAGGGAGGTTATGTTTTAGTTTTAGTTTTAGCTTTAGCTTTAGTTTAATTTGGTAACACTTTGCACACAATTCAATTCAATCCAATCCTACTAGTTAAAACATGTGTATATATATATATATACATACATACACACACAAATGCATAGAAATAGCTAGGAGATAAACTTGGATCATATTGTCAAGTTCCACACTCACAAGGATTCCATAGCTCTAGCTTTCACTCAACCAGAAAGAAATTTATGGTCTATTTCTTTAGCAAAGTTTTTTCAAATTTTACTATTTGAATTTTGCATTCCCGAAAAAAATATATTGTTCTTCTCACAAAACAACTCATCAAACGTTATTTTTATACTAAACTCAAACTAATTTTTTTTTCAAAAAAAAATCAAAGAAACACATCCTAAATTACAGCCACCGTGGTAATCAATGATAGGATTCACAAAGCTAAATGGACATACATAACTAAAAAACATATTACTAAAATTAATGTCAAAAGGATAGCATAGAGTACTCACACAAATCATCATCATCGTGCAAATCCAAATCAATAAACATACACTACAAAACAAACAATTAATATATAGATTCGAAATATATATTATTAATTGCTAATTATTTAACTTTAAAAAAAAAGACATATAAAAGTATATTTAAACATTCTCTAGCGCAGATTCTTCTTGTGATCTAAAATACAATAAAACGAGGGATACGTATGAAACAACAAGAGCCGACCACAAAAGTACACTCAAAATCCACAAAATAGTGATCGGCCACCTCAGGTGTCCGAAGACGAATGGAAACGAAGCCACGTATCCGTTAAGCGAGATCCATACCAAGACCATACCCAACAGTTCGGCTGCATTGCCCATGCGGTTGCTCTTCTCCCGGAACAAATTGATTAACGTGCCGCCGGCGACTAGTCCCACCAGCGCCGCCACTTCCACCACTTCCATCTTCTTCATAGCCACCGCTCTAACCACTTCAAATATCACCATCATTATCGACCAAGTCAACATCACCTTTTCCAATCCATTCTTGCGCACAGACGCCACCACCCCATCCGCGAACGACACTGACTTGCCTTCAACTACCTCCATTGACATATTGGGAAGAAGAATAAAAGAAGTTATGAAACCCTAAAAACGAAAAGAAGAAACCCTAAACCCTTGTGTGGTTGTAACCGGGGTTTGAATTTTTCTTTTTTTCTTTTTTTAATATTGAATAATTATATGATGTTGTATAAATATAACATATTTTGATTAGATATTTTAAAAAAGATATAATCGAACTAGATGGAAAGAGTAACCGATTATATTTTTATTAATTGGATATAAAATTATTTTTATTATTTATATATTATTATTTGTATTTTAATTTTATACATTTAATTTATTTTTAATTTAAAATTTCTTTATATTATATACTCAAATAAATATAATAAATTTGTACTATATTTTAATATAATAAATTTAACTGCAAAAAATAAATATAAACTCTAGAGATGAATATGTAGTATTTTTAATACTTATTAAAAAAATATTTATTGCAACAACTCAATTTGATAAAAATAAATAAATAAATAAATATACAAGTTTAATTTATATCAATTAAAATATAAATAATTTAAATACTCCAATTTATCTGTAAAACAAATTAGATTTGAAATTTATAAATCTTACGTAATTTTAGCATGTGATGATAAGATTTCAAATCCTATCAAACTAAAAAATAATGCGTACCCCTAAAAACACTATTAACACATGATTTATTAGGGTTCGCAATTTCTCTCCTCCTCAATCGACAGCACGAAAGCAGACGCCGTACGACGCCACCGCTGTGCTCTGCCCAGCCGCCGACCGTCGCCCAAGCACCTTCTTCCACGACCAGTCCAGCAAATTGGTAGTATCTGAAACCCTAAATTTTAATTGTTGGAGTCGTGAGATTGATAATTTGGACGAGAAATTAAACCTTAATTTGTTGAAGCTGTATTTACATGTACAAACAATCCATTGATTCTTACCAGAGTTTAATTGAATCAATCTTTTAGGATATTTTACTGTTTTGGGTTAGGCTCTTGGATAGTTGGGTTGCAATTTCAACTCTTGTACGGAACACTAGAAGCTTAAGCTATCTATTTCTATGAGAGTGTTTTAATTGTTTGTTTTTTATGGAATTATACTTGAATTACATTGCATTTACTATGTGACCCTTAAATTATTATATACTTCTACAAGAGTGTTATAATTGTTTGTTTTGAAGATTAATCGATAGGCTTTAGAATTTTCAATACAACCAGCACCACCAACGGTCACCTCCAGCTCTAACCCCGATGCAGCAGCTGCACCAGCAACAGCACCAATAGAAATACATCAGTTGTTGGAGGAGATAGATCGGGTGCAGGAGCGGATAAATCAGGAGATTTATGGGGTGCAGGAGCGGATAAATCAGCAGATTTATCGGGTGCAGGAGGGGATAAATCGGGTGCAGGAGGGGATGAATCAGCTGATGGATCCGGTGCAGGAGCAGATGGATCGGGCGCTGCTGCTGCTGCAGGAGCTGAAGCGTCCGTCTGACCCCCGCCTACCGTCACCTCCACTTCTAACCCCCGATGAAGTAGCTGCACCAGCAACAGCAGGTGACTCGCCAAAACCAGAAAGAGTTACATAAATAGTATATTTTTATTTTTAAAATTATCATGATTTTGCATAGTTAGTTAAGATAATTTTATCCAAATTTTGAGTGATGTAAGAATAAAAAGGAATTAAGATTTGGATAGAGAAGAAAAATAATATATATTATATAATTAATCAAGATTTTTATTTTTTATTTTTTATTTTTTTTAATGTCAAACCATCCTTGAAATAATTACAAAAAAAAATTGTAAATTACTATTAAGTATTTTATATGTCAAAAACTCCGCCCTTTGTAATATTTAAGCAATTTTAATTTTATAAAATTACACAAGGCAAATATATTACACAACCTAAAGCTTCAAAAACACAATCCGGCAACCTTAACATTTAAAAAAGAAAAAAATGGAAAAAAATTACAATAGCTCACATGGAAAAGATTGAATAGGCAAACCGCCAACTTAACCCCCCTTGTATTTTAGTAAATTGCTCAAAGCATCATGTGTTTTATTTATTGTGCGAAATCCCCTCATGTTTTATTATACAATTTTTATGCAAATAAAAAACGCAAAATATCTTAAATAATTTTTTTAATAAAATAAATAAATAAATAATTGATTAATCCTTCATTTTATATGACTCAATTTAAGTTAGATGTCAAGAATGCATTCTAGCATGACACTCTTTCTGAAGAAGTTTATAGGACTCCTGGAGTCCTCCAGGTTTCCCGGGTTCTGCGAAGGTTTGTTGTTTACGCCGCACTATATATGGGTTGAAGCAGGCCCCTCGGGCCTGGTATGCCACATTTAACTTTGCACTTTCGGAGTTTGGTTTTACCACATTCAGTTACGATCTGATTTATTTATTCATCATTCTTCCTCAGGGATAGTTACCCTTTTACTTTATGTTGATGACATGATCATCACGGGTTATGATGTGTCTGGTATTTTTGATCTACATGTATATCTTAGTCAGTAGTTTAAGATGAAGAGGTTTGGCCATCTTCGTTACTTTTTAGGACTTGAAGTCTCTGATTCTTCCGATGGTTTATATCTGTCTCTGGCTAAGTATGCCTCCGATCTTATTTCTCAAGCTGGCCTCACAAACTGTCAGATAGTTTGCACACCGCTTCCCTATGACGTTCGACTTACCCCTCATGATGGCTCTCTTCTTGATGATCCTAATCTATATCGTCAGCTTATTGGGAGTTTGGTCTATTTGATTGTTACTTAACCTAATATCGCTCATGCAGTTCACATTGTGAGTCAGTTCATGGCCGCTCCGAGGACCTTACATTACTCTGTTGTCTTACATATTCTTCGCTATATATGAAAGACACTCTTCTGCATGGTAAACATTTTTTTTATCTCACTCATCTTTGACACTCAGCGATTACTCTGATGCTGATTGGGCTGGCGACCCTTCCAATCGGCGTTCGACCATTGGTTTCTACTTGTTCCTGAGTGATTCTCTCATCTCTTAGCGCAACAAGAAATACATTTGAGTTTCTTGATCGAGTGCTGAGTCAGAGTATCGTGTTCTTGTTGACTCTACATCCTAACTCTTATGAATTCGTCGATTACTCATTAATCTTAGTGTTGCTCAGTCATCTTCTACGGTTCTTCATTGTGATAGTCATAGTGCTACCAAGATGACTCATAAAAAGTACATTGAGAGTATTAAAAAAAAAAAACTGTTAAAAAATTAATAAAAAAATTGGATAAATAGGAAAAAGTAGTAGTAAATTAATTATTATTTATTATACTAAGAACAATAAAATTGTGGATTGATAAAATTATTTATTATAAATGAATTATTCAAATATTTAACAAACCTACAAATAGAAATATATTATTTCTATTTTTTAATCCTGGAGGGAATATTATTTCTAAATTTATTTAAAAAATAGGAAAATACATTCCATTATGACGAAGAGTGTTGAATATGGAGGGCTCGCAATAGTCATCGAAAGAGGTACAACGCTTTCGAGTGTAATTCATACCAAAACTATAACTTATGTGTGTATGTATACGAGCCTATGGTTGAACAAGTACAAAACACAAAACATAACAAAAATAGTGTAAAAATTATTTTTGATCTCATTGTATATCATAATTATCAATTCTTATTGATTTTTTTTTTTTTTTTATCAATTTTGGTCTTATTTAAATTAAACTTAATCAATCTCAGATATTGAACACAACCGTATTGATGAGTCAAAAAGAAGATTAAACTATCCGGATAGTTAAGAGGGCCGTATTCATTATCCTGTTATGAACATAACTGTGTTCATGCCTCTATTCAAGGTCGTATTCGAATACGGTGGTCTTCCCACACGTGTTTTGAACACTGCAATGTTACCTATCAATCGTCATGGTAGGGTGAGATTCCCGCCCAAAGGCCACCGCACAATAGCTCCACAGTAGAAACCTTCAAACTTTGGCCGGAGAAAACACACCCTACATTATTCGAACCATCTTCATCTTGGTAGAGGAGCGGGTGTGGGTAAAGAAGATTTATGAGATATTTATTAATAATGAATGAACTTAAAATTTATTTATAGACTTTATAAATAATGATAAAGTCAAATAATAATGACATAATAATTTTAAATAATAAAACTTAATCTATTAGATACTACTCTCAGTCCCAAACATGCACCCTGCAATATTTTCTTTTTTATTTGTCTCAAACTCACTGCAATATTTTTAAATTTAGTAATAATTAATTATATTTATATATATACATTTCATTTTATCTTATCACATCACTCAAATAAAAATAATATACATTCTTTTTCCGATCACATCACATAATTTCCAAATTATCTCAAATTACTCTACATAATACTAGCTACCTAAATTCCCGTGCCGAACTCATATGTTGCACGGTGTTTGAGACGGAAGAAGTATTAAATAATAATTAATAAATTTAAATAATATCTATTTAGAATATATTTCTACAATATATAAATAGACAAGAAAAATGTGAAACTAAGAGAAAATTAAAAATTTAAAGTCATCAACAAAAGGAGATTTGGTGAAAAACATATATTTCTACGGCTAAATCTAGCCAAATCCAAGACTAATATAATTTATCAATAATTATTTGACCGCTGATACTCTTGATTTTGACATATTTTATAGTTTATTTTTATTTAATTAATTATTTATGTATGTCGAGTTTATGTATAATTTATGTAAATTTATTCTAATAATTGTATTTATTGTATTTTGTGTGTAAAATATTAATTTATTAATTTTTAAATATATTTTATAATTATTTTGGTGTATAAATTAAATTAATTTATGCGTTGCTTGAATTATATTTTTTTGGCATTATTTATTTTTTATTTAAATATTTAATTTTAATTAAATTAAATATTTAAGAAAACACTATAATTTAAATATTTAATTTTGGCAGATTAAGTAATTAATCATTTTAAATAGATAATTTATTTTATTTAATTAAATATTTATTGTGTAAATTTTAATAAATTTCAAACTCTATTAAATATTGAATTTACCTTAATGCAGTGCAAAAATACGTGCAGCAGTAGCATTAATTTTGCGCGAGCGGCGGCTGGCGCGGAATTTGAACGACGGCTGACGCGGATATTTGAGCAGGCACGGAATCTGAGCGGCGGCAGCACAGAAGTGAGCGAGCGCGGAAAGCGATAGCGGCTGCGCGGAAAGCAACGGAGGCTGCACGGAAAGCGACGGAGTCTGCCCAGAAAGCGATGGCGGCTATGCGGAAAGCTAGCGGCGGTTGCATTTATGAGTGCGGAATGCCATGTATAGAAGTGAGCGAAGCGACGGTTGGCGCAAAAAGCAAGTGACGGCTGCGCGGAATCCATGAGCAGCTGCTGCATATTTATTGCCCAGGCTCCTGCATTTACTGCACTCTTCCAGCTCCCTTAACTAAAATCCTACACTACTTTTTAGCCAATTTTTGTCTATTTTATGTATTTTTTTATTCTAGATCTTTCTAGAAAATAGGTAGTTATTAGTAAGTTAATAATTAATTATTAATAGCTATTTTTAGAGGTAATTATTAGCTATTTTTAGAGGTAGTTAGTAGTTATTTTTAGATGTAGTTATTTATGGGCGGTTGTAACCGCGGAGCTTGTAGAAGCTTCTTCCACTATAAATATCTCCTCTAATTGTATATTAAATACACCATATACACTATAATATAGATTCCATACACTCCATTTTTCTCCATTTCTTTTCCTTGATATTTTTATCTAGTTAAATAATACGAGATTTTTAGTTTTGTGTCGCAAACAAACTGTTTTCTCCTCATTTTCTTTTAATTCCAGCATATTATTTTAGCTAGTAAAATTCCTATCATATTTCTCCACGTCACCTACACCCAAAAATTCCATGTTCAATTTGAATTGTTCAAGTTAAATTTTCGACAAGGCTGCGGAAAGGGCGATAGAATAATCGACTATGTCAGCCTTGTTTCGCGTCACAAACAAATTTTGGGTAGTTCAACATAGCTAAGGTGACAGTAGAGTTTATTGCTTATAATGTTCTTCGGCGGGTGTCGCTGAAGCCTCGTTGTAAATCCCCTAAGGTGAAGTACCAACCGAGTCGAGAATCAGCTTAAGCGAGCAAATATGATGCTCAGGGCCATCTCGGACTTTTTTGGGGCCCTGAGCAAAAAATAAATTATAGGCCCTATAAACACATGATTAAAATATATTTTTAAAATAATATCACTGATTGACATCGATTGGACCAGAAATTTTAATATGACAATGGTAGATTTGAAAAAAAAACAAGATGAAAGATGAATTGTCCGAAAGTTCGAAAAGCGAGAATGACTGAGTGAGGACGAAAGAGAGAGAAGGTGAACGAGTTTGGTTTAAGTGGGTAGACGCAGTGCGATAGGGTGTGATGTAGAGAATTGTAAACGATGATTGAATTTGGAAAGATAGATAAGACCGTTAGAAAGAAGAGAGGAAACAAAATATATAATTAAAATTTTAAAATTTATTTGGATAATTATAAAAAAAAAAATATTATCTACAAGTTAAAATTTAATAATAATAATAATGGGTAATATTTTAA